ATAGCGAGACCCTGTCCCTAAACACACAAACAAACAACAACCACCAAAAAGGAAAAGTTAGCCAGGTGGGGTGGTGTTTGCCTGTAGTCCCAGCTACTCAGGAGGCTGAGGTGGGAGGATTGCTTGAGCCCAGGAGGTGGAGGCTGCAGTGAGCTGTGATCCCGCCACTGCATTTTAGCCTGGGCAACCCAGTAAGTCCCTGTCTCAAAACAATAATAAAAACACGAACGTTACTAAAACAGCTTTTTAATTTTCGTTTTTATTTATTTTTGAGATGGAGTCTCACTGCTGCCCGGGCTGGAGTGCAATGGCATGATCTCAGCTCACTGCAGCTCTGACAGAATTCCACCTACCAGGTTCAAGACATTCGCCTGCCTCAGTCTGTCAAGTACAGGTGTACACCATCATCCCTGGCTAAGTTTTGTATTTTTAATAAAGGCAAAGTTTCACCATGTTTTCCAGGCTGCTGTCGAATTCCTGACCTCAAGTGATCTGCCTGCCTTGTCTTACCAAAGTGCTGGGATTACACGCTTGAGCCACGGTACCTGGCCCAAAACACTTATAAAATTGTTTTCATACTTATTACCAGGCTGGGCCACAATAGCTAGCGCTTGTAATCGCAGCATTTTGGGAGGCTGAGGGAGAGTATTGTTTGAGGCCAGGCGTTCAAGACTAGCCTAGACAACATAGCGAGATCCTGTCTCTGAAAAAAAAAACTAAAAAGAGTTGTGTATGGTGGTGTGCATCTGTAGTCCCAGCTACCTGAAAGGCCAAGGGAGGAAGATCACTTGAACCCAGGAGACCGAGGCTGCGATCACATCACTTGACGCTGGCGAGGGCAAAAGAGCGAAACTCTGTCTCCAAAGTAAATAATAAAATAAAATACTAAAATAAATAAATAAATAATACTCATTACCTCCACTGTTGCCGGAATTGCCGGGCTGGGGCTGAGGGCGTGGCTTCAGCGTTGGGTAGATAACTGTTGGAAAACAACAGGACGATTTTAGAAACATAATGACGTATTTCAGGTAGCTATCACCTATAAATAAGAATGCCAAAACAGAAAAGATGTCACTGCCCATCCCTTTTACAGAGCTTATTAATCATATAGACAATATTCACAACACTATTTCAGAGCTTACAATTAAAAAACACTTTCATTGTGTACTCTAAGCTTACCCCACTGATGCTTCCAGCAAGGAATCTGCAGATCTCTGAGATTAACAGGGCAGAAAGTCTTCTGTTGACGTTTCCCCATTTAGGGCCATTACAAACGCCACCACTGTTATAGAAGTCAGTCACCAATATGAGGATGAAAGCATCTGACCCTTTGCTAGTGTGTCATATTTCCATCTCGCTGGTTCGCACCCTCTCATTTGAATTTGTTTGGTTCTTGTTTTGAGACAGGGTCCTGCTCTGTGGCCCAGGCTGGAGTGCAGTGGGGCGATCATAGCTCCCCGCAGCCTCGACCTCCTGGACTCAAACAATCCTCCCACCCCAGCCGCCCATGTAGCTCAGACTACAGGTGCACAGCACCATGTTTAGCTAATTTTGTTAATTTCTGTGGAGACAGGGTCTTGCTATGTTGCCCGGGCTGGTCTCAAATTCCTGGCCTCAAGCAATCTTCCTGTCCTGTCATCCCAAAGGGCTAAAAGCCTAGGGATGAGCCACACTGAGCCCCGCTTCATTTAAATTTCTTAAAACTTTTGCCATGACTTTTGCATGTTTGTTAAGTTTACTAGGAGCTTCGTCTCACAGAGGCCCTTCTTTATTTTTTTAAGATGGAGTCTTGCTCTTTTGCCCAGGCTGAAATGCAGTGGCAAGATCTCGGCTCACTGCAACTTCTGCCTCCTGAATTCAAGCCATTCTCCTGCCTCAGCCTCCCGAGTAGCTGTTATTACAGGCGTCCGCCACCACGCCCGGCTAATTTTTCTATTTTTAGTAGAGATGGGTTTCACTATGTTGGTCAAGCTGATCTCAAACTCCTTACCTCAGCTGATCTGCCTGCCTCGGCCTCCCAAAGTGCTGGGATTATGGGAGTGAGCCACCTCGTCCAGCACTGCCCCAGGACTGTTGCAGGTGACATTCTTTCTGCCATGACCTCCCTCCTGTTCCCTGTCCATCACTTTACACACTCCCTAAGTATTTGAAGAACCCACTTGTCACCTGGAAAAGCATTAGCTCATCCCTCCTGTCCCAGCTTAAATGTCCCTTGACCCTACTGAAGCAGCCAAAATGAGATCATCGATGCCAGCTCTTTGCACAATGTGAGTCTGTATCTCCAGTACATTTTTGTTGCTGGACTAGAAACTTTATTTTCTGTACCCATTTTATATTCCTCTACCTGGCACTCCCAGTACCTGGCAAGTGCTTACCCACCTTGGGTCAAGATGCAATTACGTTAATTCACAAAAAAAGCCATCCATATTGTTCTCAAAGTCCTTCTTCAGAACAGACATCAGAACATTGGAAATCTGGGCTGAGAGTGACTGGTTTGTCACTTCTCCGAACAGTTTCTTTCTCTTTTTCTTTGTCTCTCTCTAGAGACTGGTTCTTACTCTGCTGCTCAGGCTGGAGTGCACTGGTGCAATCATAGCTCACTGCAGCCTCCACCTCCTGGGCTCAAGTGATCCTCCTCCTGCCTCAGCCTCCAGAGTATGGCTGGGACTACAGGCATGGACCACCATGTTCTGCCTGGATTCTAATTTTTCCTTTTTTTCTGAGACGGAGTCTTGCTCCGTCGCCCAAGCTGGAGTGCAATGGTGCAATCTCAGCTCCCTGCCATCTCCTCCTCCCAGGTTAAGGCAATTTTCCTACCTTAACCTCCAGAGTAGCTGGGATTACAGGTGCACAGCACCATGCCTGTGTAATTTTTGTAGTTTCAGGTAGAGACAGGGTTTTACCATGTTGGTCGGGCTGGTCTTGAACTCCTGACTTCAGGTGATCCACCCACATCGGCCTCAGAAAGTGCTGGGATTACAGGTGTGAGCCACTATGCCTGGCCTAGACTCTCTTTCGAGGCCTCTCAAATGAAACAGCTGTGGGGATTATGGAAGCCTGGGGGCCAAACAGAGGAGTGGAGACCAGGCATGAGGGAGCTTTAGTTTCCAGGGCAGAAGACACTGCCCGGAGCTCAGGAGCCGTGTCCGTGGCTTGGTTCAGGACGTCTCTTGGCCCCTCACTGTGAGGTCAGCCCATCCTGCCCTCAAAATGACTTCCTCTGTGAGCTTCCCTCCTCCAGTCACACACAGAACCTCCGACTGCATTCATTCCTGGGCTTACTCCTGAGGCCTCTCTCCTGGACTTGGAGACGCCGTCTTCTCCCTGTGTCCTCACAGGGTCCTTCCTCTGTGTTTGTCTGTGTCCTTATCCCCTCTTACTGTGACACCAGTCCTTTTGGATCAGGACCCACCCTAGTGACATTTTATCTTAATCTCCTCCTTGAAGGTCCCACCTCCAAAGACAGTCACATTCTGAGGAAACTCGGGGTCAGGACTTCATCGTATGAATTTGCCAGGAGACATAATTCACCCCATAACAGCTGCATCAAACAGAATCCATGCCTCTCTTGTTACTTTCAAGACAATAGGGGACTGGGCAAAGTGGCTCACGCCTGTAATCCCAGCACTTTGGGACGCCAAGGTGGGTGGATCACAATGTCAGGTGTTCGAGACCAGCCTGGCCAACATGGTGAAACTCCATCTCTACTAAAGATACAAAAATTAGCCAGGCGTAGTGGCAGGCGCTTGTCCCAGCTACTCAGAAGTCTGAGGCAGGAGAATCACCTGAACCCGGGAGGCGGAGGTTGCAGTGAGCCGAGATTAGGCCACTGCACTCCAGCCTTGGCAACAGAGCAAGACTTCATATCAGAAAAAGAAAATGAATAAAATATTCATATACACACATATAAAATATATACTTACATAAGATATTTATACATATATAAAAGTTGTATATAGATATATATATTTATATACATATAGAAAGACATTTGTATACCTACATAAACATATATACACATGTATATATAAAGTTATGTGTATATATATAACATATGTGAAAGTATATGCACATAAAGGTATATGTGTACATATATAAAGACATACTAACATATAAAGATATACACGTACATATATAAAAGTATATATATAAATATATACATACATATATAAAAGCATATATAAATAAAGGTATATATGTACACATATAATGATATATCTAAATAAAGGCATATGTTTAATTATATATGTAAAGATATATATTTATATAACACACATAAAATATAAAAATTACATAAAATGCATATGTATTTTAAAATATACATAAACTTATAAAAAATAAAGATATATTAAAAGAAATACATATAGATACATAAATATATAAAAAGCATATATGTGCATATAATCATAAAAATAAATAAACACATATAAAACATGTACATATGTAAAGATATATGTAAGCATATATATAAAGTCAGGAATATACATATATGAAAACACAGGTATCTATGTAGTGTATATATACAAAAGCATGTATGTACACACATGAAAAAAACCATATACCATACATGCGTATGTAAATGTGTTTATGTATATTTAAAAGCACATAGAGACACAAATATAGATGTGCGAACATTCGTGTACACGCAGATGGAGGTGGCTAAGCACGCATGTGCATGAAGCTGTGTCGAGGCACAGACAGCCACACTTCTGCATGTGGAGTCTAAGCAGAAATGCCCACACGTGTTTCCATGGAGCCTCCAGTTGAATCTGTTCATTTTGTTTCCATCCCGTCCACCAGCCCGGAGAGGCGGACAGATGCCCAGACCGCGACGCCACTGATGCAGCCACGGGGCCTTCTCGTCAGCCCCTGCACCAGCCTATCGTCCGCCCGTGACCAGCTTTGCCCCTGGACTGGGCGTCCCTCTCTCCCGAACCTCAGGCCTCTCACCACCCTCTCAGCAAATCCACGTGTCCCGCCTGGAGAGGCTCAGCACCTACCTGCAGGTGGCCTGGGCCTGGGCGGGTAGTGTCCGTCATTGCGGTCCCCATCATTGAAGTAACCTGTGGGCAGAGCACATGGCATTGCTAACGTGTCCTCTCCAGAGGGGGCACTGGGGCAGGTTTTGGAGGAGAGCGTTCCGATGCCAACGAACTCTTGGCAGGATGCCCACAGGTACCAGGCATTAAATCACCTTGCGGGCGGCCGCCCAGCCTGCAGGAAGCATGTGCAGGGCCAGGACGGCGGCAGGGTGGCCTCATAGTGTGGACGCTTGCCCCTCTTCTGCTCAAAGCCCTCCCCGGGCTGACCGTGAGCTGGGGTGCAGCTCGGGCTGTGGTGTCTGCCTGCTGCCTGGACCCCTCTCTCGGGGTGCCCATCTCACAATCCCCTGCCCTTCCCTCCTTCCCTGGATGTTCCCGGTGCTCCTGCCTCTGGACCTTTGCACGCCCCTTTCCCTCTGCTCCCTCCTGGCCGTCCTTCCTGGATGAGCCAGCGTCGCCTGTCACCACGTCCCCATCCAGCTCTCCTTCTGCCCTGCTGCCACCCAGGCCATCCCCTGCTCAGAATCCTCCA